CTATGTGCCAGGCACCATGTATAAGTGATGCAGTAACAAAAAGAATACAAACCCTTCCAGCAAGGAGTTTACAATCACGTGCAGGAAGTACACATTTAACCCATCATTACAATGGGCAAAAAGGCCTATAAAATCTGAGTTCCCTACCACATCTTCCTTCAATGACCTCATCTCTGATTTTTCCCTCCTTTGATCACAGAAGGCACATGATTCCTGGTTGTTTGTTGAACAGCAAGTACATTTCAATCTCAACACCTCTACACTTGTTATTCTTTCTGCCTAGTATGCTTTGCTCTTCCTCCTGATAACCACATGACTTGCCCTGTGTCACCACCCTCCCAATATTCCCTTCCCCTATTCCCTGTCTCATGTTTCACCATAGCATGTACTATATATTTTATTATTTGTTTACTGTCTGTCTCCTTCTTCTATAGTATAAGCTCCATGAGGGCAGGAATTTTTTTATTATTGTTGTTCATTACGTTACTCATTGCACTTCAAACAACATTGGACAAATAGTATGCACTTAAATATTTACTTAGTAGATGAATGAATGAATGATTTAAAATGTGATGGGCAAAGTGCAGGGTACTAAGGGGAAATACAGCAGAGGGCCTATGCCTCTGTGAGGCATGTATGTTTAAACCAACACCTAAACAATGAGGAGACAATAAGGAATGAATACAGAAGCAGAATCAACATGCATGACAGAATTTAGTACAGAAGTTGCAAGAATCTGAAAGATGTCATATATGGTTGGCATACACAGTGTAAAGGATAAACTGGTACACTAGCAGTTTGAAGAGAAAAACAAAGGCCAGCTATATAAAGGATTTGAATTAGTAGCCATTCAAGAGTTTGCAAACACAGGCATAGGACTGAATTTGGATTTCTGAAAGGTCACTCAAGCTACAGTGTTGAAAGTTAATGGGGGGGGGGGGCGCCTGGGTGGGTCAGTTGGTGAAGCCTCTGACTCCTGGTTTCAGCTCAGGTTATGATCTCAGTGTTGGGGGATCGAGCCCCACATCCGGCTCCCTGTTTAGTGGGGAGCCTGACTGGGATTCTCTCCCCCTCTCTCTGCCCCTCTCCCTGCTTATGCTCTTGCTCTCTAAAAGAAATAAATAAATCTTTATTTTAAAAAAGAAGAAGAAAGTTAATTGGATGGGACCAAGACTGGCTACAAAGAAACCAATTAGGAGGTTGACAAAAGTAATCCAGATTGGATGATGATAGCTGGAACTTGGTGTTAGCGTGAGCAAAGAAAGAAGTAAATGGATCAGAAAGCATCTATAGGTGAATTCTCTGTAGCAGTATTTATCAAGAATGACTCTAAGGTTCTAGCTTGGGAAACAGTGTGGAAAATACCACCACTTTCTCAGGCAGGAAAGAATCGGGTTGAGAAGCGTACAGCAGGAGTCAGCAAACATTTTCTGAATGGGCCAGTAACAAATATTTCAGGTTTGCTGGGTGACATGGTCTGTCACAATTTCTCAACTCAGTCACTAGTGAAAAAAGCAGCCATCAGCAATCTGTAAAGAAAAGAGCAGGGCTGTGTTCCAGTAATACCTTACCAATCAGGTGGGCATGGAGCTAATTGCCAATTGCTAATCAAAGAGAAAATTATGAGCTCAGCTTTTAACTTGTTACTTTCAAGATGCCTCAGGGGCATCAAGCAGAACTATTTAAGAGGCACCCACACATGCAGAGATCTAGCACAGATAAATATATATAGATTTGAGATGTGAGCCGTAAGAGTAAGGTTGCCCCAGGGTGAGAGTGTACAATAACATTTCCTACTCAGAATCCAAAATAAAACCACATTTACAGAACAAAGATAGGAAAAACAATCAGCATGAAAACTAAGAATGAACATTTAAAACAAGCCAAAAAATACAAAAACAAAACTAGAACTGAGTAGTGTGCCAGAAGAAGATTATTTAGAGAAGGAAAAAGTGACCAAGAGACTCAAATGCTTTGAAGAGATAAACACCAGGATTACAAATTATATACTGAATGCATTGAGAATGAGAGGTTGCTGGTAGCCACTGCAAGAGAAATTTCCATTAATGAGGAAAGAAGCCAGCCGATGGTAGATTAATGATTAAGTGAACAGTATAGAAATGAAAGCAAGTAAGGACAATTCTTCTTCTAAGACCTGTGGCTATGAAAGAGGAGACTAAGGTGACAGCTATAAAGTGACAAGGGGTTACTGTGCTCTAGGCAACCACATTTTTTTTCCACTAAACTGGAAGCACCATGTGGTGAGGGATCATGGGCATCTTGTTTATAACCATCATATGCTTCCCACTTAGCCCAGGGATTAGCACATTTGTTGACTGAGAATTTTTAAGAGCAAGGGTAATGGAAAGGAGCTGAAAGACAAGTTTTAAGATATGGAAGAGAGAAAAGATAATCCATAAAGACCGTAGCCCGTGAAGGCTACTATAAGGGGTACATCTGGAACCTAACAAGAAGAACTGGCTTTACTGAGGATGGGAACACTTCGTCCTTGTAATAGGACAGAAGGGAAAAAAAGTGGATGAATACAGATTAAGGTAAACATGGGCAAGAAATGGAGGATATTAATAAGGGCCAAGCTTGCTAACTGTCCTATAACACATGAAAGTTTCCTGCACAATAAACAACTGCCCAGCCCAAAAGCTAACAATAATTAACACTGAAAAGTTTTTGCAGACTAACTCAAATCACAAAGTTAAAGTCTACAGAGGGACACTCTTCTTCCAAGGAGAAAAAGACATGTAACTTTTCCTGGGAAAACACACACACAGACACTTCAATTTCTGCATTTCTTCCTTAGAAACCTTCAGCTGCTAAAGCTGCTTACTTAATGAGAATGAGGAGTTATGTTCGGGATCTATAATCATCCACAGCTATGCCACTTTCCACCAGAAACAAATTTATAATTTATGTTTTATGCATATGGACAGAAACACAAAGTTACACACAGAACATCGTAATGTTTCAAACGTTAAATACATACCATCATTAAATGAAATCCAGAGAGCTAAGAGAACATTTTTAAATCACCAAGTTTTTTCCTATGAAAGTATGAGTCAGTACTAATCATGACTGAATGGGAAAAGATATTTGAAATGACATATCCAATAAAGGTTTAAAATCCAAAATATATAAAGAACTTACACAACTCAATACCAAAATACAAATAATCTGATTAAAAATGGGCAGAAGACCTGAATAGACACTCTTCCAAAAAAGACAATACAAATGGCCAACAGACACATGAAAAGATGCTCAACATCACTAATTATCAGGGACATGCAAATCAAAACCACGATGAAATCATCACCTTACACCTGTCAGAATGGCTAGAACCGAAAGACAAGAAATAAAAGGTATTGGTGAGGATGGGGAGGAAAAAGAACCCTCATGCACTGTTGGTGGGAATGCAAATTGGCGCAGCCACTGAGGAAAATACGGAAGCTCCTTTTTATTTATTTTTTTTAAGATTTATTTATTTGAGAGAGAGAGCCCACGCAACAGAGAGTGCATGAGCAGGGGAAGGGGCAAATGGAGAGGGAGAACCAGACTCCCCGCTGAGCAGGGAGCCCAACAACATGGCCCTCGATCCCAGGACCCTGGGATCATAACCTGAGCTGAAGGCAGGCACTTAACCGACTGAGCCACCCAGGCGCCCAGAAGTTTCTTTAAATATTAAAAATAGAAATACTATATGATACAGTTATTCTATTACTGGGTACTTACCCAAAGAAAACAAAAACATGAATTTAAATATATGTACCCCTATGTTTACTGCAGCATTCTTTACAATAGCCAAGATATGGAAGCAGCCCAAGTGTTCACCGACAGATGAATGGAAAAAGAAGAGGAGACACACACACACACACACACACACACACACACACACACACACACTCACACACGGATTATTACTTGGCCTTAAGAAAGACCAAGATGCTGCCATTTTTGACAACATGGATAGACCCAGAGGATATTATATTAAGTGAAATAAGTCAGAGAAAGACAAATAGCGTATGATTTCATTTATATGTGGAATCTGAAAAACAAATAAACAAAAAGCAGAATCTCAGGGCGCCTGGGGGGCTCAGTTGCTTAAACTTCTGCCTTCAGTTCATTCAGGTCGTGATCCCAGGACCCTGGGATCCAGCCCAATGTCGGGCTCCCTGCTCAGCTGGGAGCCTGTTTCTCCCTCTCCCTCTGCCCCCGCCCCACTTGTGTGCACACTCTCTCTCTCTCTAATAAATACATCTTAGGAAAAAAAAAAAAGCAGACTCTCATACCCATAAACACAAAGAACAAACTGACAGTGTCCAAAAGGGAAGGGGGTAGGGGGATGGGTAAGTGGTTGAAGGGGATTGGGGAAATACAGGCTTCCACTTAACAGAACTAGTCACAGGGATAAAAGGTACAGCAGAGGGAATATAGTCAATGGTACTATAATAGGGTTGTATGGTGACAGATGGTAGCTACACTTGGTGGTGAGCAGAGCCATTTAATGTATAGAGTTGTGAAATCACTATGCTGTTCACCTGAAACTAATGTGACATTATGTGTCAACGACCGTTCCATTAAAAAAAAACTGATCATGAAATATAATGCTTAAGTGGCTTCTTGCTCCTTTTAACTTATACCACTTAAAATAATCCAGGGGTGGTTGGCTGGCTCAGTTGGTAGAGCAGGCGACTCCTGATCTTGGGGGTGTAAGTTCGAGCCCCATGTTGGGTGCAGAGATTACTTAAAAATAAAATCTTTAAAAAAACAGAAAAAAATAAGTAAAAAATTTAAAAATTTAAAATAGAATAATCCAGTGTAAACACTGATTTACTTTAACCTACACATGCATATCTTTGCATTTTACTGTGCATTTTATTTTGCATTTATATTATTGCATTTAGCAATAATTGCATTTTATCTAATGCTTTTCACAAAATGTTTGACTTAAGGACACATATATTAATTACAGTAATACAGTTTCTCACCTTGACTACACCATCAAAGCCAGGGATTGTGTTAACCTTTGCTTTCTTAGCTAATAATTTGCTTTCAATCTTGTCACCCATGGCTTGAATAGCATGTGTGTCGGGTCCAATGAAAACGACATCCTCTGCTGCCTGTGAAGAAACACAAGTAGAAATTTGTAACAAAAACAATATGGTGCTTGATACAGTCACAATTTTATAAAAAGAAAAACCCATATGTATATTTACTAATTATTTACATACCAAAAACAACTTAAAAGCAAAGGATTTGAACCAATACATTAAAATATACAGTGCTGTATATACTACAAGTGCACAAAGATATAGGAAACAAAGTCGGGCCAAAGAAAAATAACAAATGAAGAATTCCTGCTTGATATTTACAGTATTCTTTGGGAAAGCCACTTCTGTGGTGGTATATTTATATATAATATCCTGCCACCTAACCTAAACAGTAGATTCACCTTTAAAACACCTTATAAACCTTTGCATTCTCCATACCCCACAGCACACTGCCTAGTTCAACACAAATGTCCTTTTTCATTAAATACCAACTCTGTGCCAGGCTTTGAGCTAAATGTAGGGGACATGGATGAAAACCACAGGATATCCATTAATTCAAGGGAATGTGATCACTAAACCTCAGGGAAATAGCCAAAAGAAACAGAATGTTTACACCCTTGTGACTACAAGAAATGAATCAAGAATCTAGTGGGAATTTACCAGGTAGAGTTATAGTTTCAACAAAAACTCTTCTGTATCAATCACATTTAGTTCCCCAGCAATGGATCCGTCCCTCTGTGTTTACAGTATTATAATGAACAAAATGTTAATGAATTTTGCCAACGAGCTAATCAGGGAGAGAGCAAAATATGATGTAGTTAGTGCCACTATAGGGCATGGTCTAGAGAAGTAACGGTGAGAATTGCTGAAGTAAAGGATGAGGCTACTAGGCAAAGAATGGAGGTTAAATATGAAAAAAGGAAAACCAGAATGGATGCTGGGCACCATCACAGTCAGGCCCTGAACTGTTCGTTCTCCCATGACCTTTGGTCAGGTTGGTATAAAGAATAAATCATGTATTTTATGCCTCATATTCTATCTACTAGCACTGGTGCCTGAAAGGACTCTGGGCTTGGGAAAGGAGATCCATTCTCCTTTTAAGTATATTATCCAGAGTAGCTACTGCAGTGTGTTTGTTGGATTGGTCTCTCGGCCATTATGAACCAAGAGGATTAAACCCATCCAGAGCAGAAGGTGGAAGGAGAACAGGGAATCAACAAAAGCAATGGATAGAGATAAATAACAGAGGGTGTGATGTCTATGAGAGCGTACAGGAAGCTGACAGAGAGGTCTAGAGGTTCTAAGAGGAGTCCAGGCTGAGATATGGATTTTCAAAGGCATTAAACACAGGAGAAAATTAAAAGTTATAGATGAAATCACTCAGATAAAATGTATAGAAAAGCCAAGGCCTTTAAACTCAGGATGTATACTTTCTCTTGTGCCCAAAACCAACACAGAAGAAAAGGGAAATTTTAGATTCTGAACTAATAAAGTTTCCTTTTCTTTGTATGACAATGGGAATAGTAACCACCTTGCAAGTTTGAGTATTAAATAAAATAATAATGTAAAACGCCAAGCTGAGTGCCACAACTGTTAGTTCTTATCTCTTAACCAGTTATATATGGCAGAATGCAAGATGAGAAACCTCTTCAGCAAAAACAGAGGCCCATAAAGTACCTCCCCATCAAATGTTTGTATTTAATAGTAGAACCTTATTTTCTTAATTAAAAAAAAAAAGAATCTTTTGTGAAACCCCCAAAATGTAAACACATGAAAAGTAGAGCTGCTCTGTAAGAGGGCAAAGTGGTCAGAGGCTTACATCTCCGCATACTCCACATGTCTCCAGTCATTTTGGACCACAGCAATTATCATATTCATTTCTCTTCATCCCAAACCTGCCACCCACTAAATGCCAAGCCAAGTCAAGAGGAAACAAACATGTTTCAAGTATCAATTGGCTTTCCATATTTCCCTTTTCCTTGCTAAGATGGAGGAATTTTTGTTATAAATGCGGTTTTAAACACCACTATGCTAGACAGACGTAATCAAGTAATCAGAATACCCACACAAACAGCTGAATAACATAAATGAGAACACCCAAAATACATTATGATTATACAGTAAAACTTCTGATTAACAGGAGCCCAACAACTAGGAACCTCTGATTAGTTAACTAGATTTGTCTCATGCATTCTGAGTTGAGACAAATTACTTACCCCAAAATGCAAAATACCAAGAAAAAAAGCTCACATCAAGTAGTTAGTGACTACTCTTTTGTCCCATCCAACAGAAAAGAAAAAGAGCCAGTAGTAAGCTGGGTAACTACTCAGACAGACGTTTCAATGAACCCGTTTCCTCTGTCCTTAGATGTTCTGGTAGCATTCCCTGGGCCGGCCCTTAAATGTCATTACAGCAAAACGAGAATGCGGCGTCCCAGCTCCGAACTCCCTGAATTCTCTGGCCAAAAGAGCAAGGCGAGGTCAGGGTGAGACAGTATGCCAACTGCAAAGTGACGGAGCATGTTTCAAAAGTTCTGTGATTTTGACCAGAGTCATCTGTGTGATTTGAAGTTAAGGCCAGAATTTATCACTAGTACCCTTTTGATTCATCTTTTGTTCACCCTGGATCTTTTGTCATCCATCCAATTCTCCGTCTCCCTTAATCTCCAGTAAGTCTTTTTGACATTCCATAGAAATAAAATGCACTGGGGCGCCTGGGTGGCTCAGTTGGTTAAGCGTCTGCCTTTCGCTCAGGTCATAATCCCAGGGTCCTGGGATCAAGCCCCACATCGAGCTCCCTGCTCTGCGGGAAGCCTGCTTCTCCCTCTCCCACTCCCCCTGCTTGTGTTCCCTCTTTCACTGTGTCTCTCTCTGTCAAATAAGTAAATAAAATCTTTAAAAAAAAAAAAAAAAAGAAATAAAATGCACTTCTAAATATATGCTTTATAAGGTCCTTGTAAATTTACCATGAATGGTAAATAGAATACCTGAAGGCAGGTAAATGTCTTACAGTCATGGGCCTGGATGGCTCAGTCGCTTGAGCATCCAACTCTTAACTTTGGTTCCACTGGTAACCTCAGGGTCATGAGGTCATGTCCCACATCAGTCTCTAAGCTTGAGATTCTCTCTCTCCCTCCGCCCTTTCCCCCACCCCCGCTAGTGCATGCTCTCCCTCTAAAATAAATAAACCTTAAAAAAGTGGGTTTTTAAACAGCATTGGAAAACACCATAAGAAAGAAATTACAAAAGGCCAAAATCACTGCTCTAAGATTCCTTTCATTTTCTAAATTCTGTGATTTTATGATTCTGGTCAAATTTTGATAGAAGAAAGAAAAAAAGGATTCATTTTGAACAGCATGTTAGGGGAATAATGAGATTTAACTTACAACAGACTTGATGTTGTGAATGAAGGACAGAAATAATCATTATTTATAAAAAATGTATGATACACAATTCATTCTCAGAAATATAAGTAGTAAACTGCTACACTATGGATTCAGATTTCTTTTAAATGCATACACTTTAGGCTTACCAAGATAGTGGCATAACTGTAAAACCAGGGTCAGGCAAGAGACATAGCCATGAAAAAACTGCTGAATTGCCCAAAGGACTCAGATTCTAGATTTTAATGTATTCCTTGCTAAAAGGAAAAAGAGTTTCTGGTAGCAAAGGTCAGTTCAGGATTGGTGTGGGGAACTTAACACATGAGTTAAAAAAGTGAGCCAGTGAGAAAGCTTTCAAAAATTATTATGATTATGTCAAAAGCACATAGTAGCAGATAGAAAAGCTATCCCCTAAATATGGTGTTAACAGTATGGACATCAAAAAGAAAAATAGGGAGATTACAAGGTTAATTCATCTTTTCAAGACTTCAGAAAAAAGTCTTTTTTTTTTTTAAGATTTTATTTATTTATTTGAGAGAGAGAATGAGAGAGAGAGCACATGAGAGGGGGAGGGTCAGAGGGAGAAGCAGACTCCCCGCTGAGCAGGGAGCCCGATGTGGGACTCGATCCCGGGACTCCAGGATCATGACCTGAGCCGAAGGCAGTCGCTTAACAAACTGAGCCACCCAGACACCCTTCAGAAAAAAATCTTTTGCTATCTTCTATTCAAGTACTGAAACTTCTTAGACATGTATCACTCATTTCAAAACAATAGACAGTTCTTTAAAAAGCAATATAGAGGAAAACTAACTTTACAGATAAAACTAGGCAAAATAAAAGGATCAAGATAAAATCCCATACAATGTTTTTACAAGGAAAATAAAACAAATACTAGAATAACATCCATGAAGGGGGAAAAAAAAAAACCCACAAGAGAAAAACATATCAACATGTAACAGATCAAAACTGTTACCTATTTCAAAACAAGCTGAAAAACATTTTCTAAAGTTATAGAAAACATGAAATAAATCAGAATTAGAAATGTTCAGAAATGAGATGACATGCCTCAAGATAAAATCAGAAATTAAAAAGAAGTATCATTCTAGAAATGAAGACTAACCCAGAGGGAACTCAAGAGTGAATAAAGAAAACAGATAATGCCTTACAGGAAATAGAAAGTGAAAGGAAGAAACTTTTCTGAATTTAAATATCAAAACAATGAAATTATTTTTAAAAGATACAAGAGAAAATGAGAAACTGAAGAAAGAGAGCATCCAACATATGGATAAGAGTCTCTCAAGAAAACTAAAGCAAAGAAAATACCAAAACTGTACTTCAAGAAAACGGTTTTAAAAATTGGAAATAGATAGCAAAAAGACATACTACAGCAAAACTGAGAAATTCCATCTAGAATGACCATGATACAATCTAGCAATACTGCTTACAAGAATAAGAAAAAATACAAGAAAAAAAAAAAAGAATATGTGACTTATACAAAAGTTTAAATTATCACCGGACTCAGTCAACAGTAATCCATGCCAAAAGAAAATGGAATAACGTAGTCAAGAAAAAAGTATGAGCCAAGGATTTTAAATCCAACAAAACTGAAGTCCAAGAAAAAGTGCAGAGAAAACGAAACAAACAAGAACTCAGGGCCTCTTTCTGAGGAACTGAATAAACCTGTAGT